CTCTCTGTGCTGCTGCTGCTGCTGCTCTTGAGTGACAGTGAAGATTTCACAACACGAAAGCTAGCTAGCTAGAGGCCGTCCTCGCCATCGTATATTTCACTTGCATATATGTCGGCGGCCGGCCGGTGACGATCGACGGTGCAACCAATTCGTGTTCAGTTAAAGCGTAGAGCGTTGGAATGCATGGCTTCACGGTACAAAAAACGGCTAAAAGCGTGTAACTGGTCTGTGCTATCGAGTGTGGACAGGACGATCGTGATCGAATCTTGCCTGCTAGCTTAGCTCGACTGACCGGTTTAATCACGTTAAGCAATGGCCACAAGCATGCACGCACGCACGCACGCGGGAGCGACTGATCGGTTCATATTTTCGTCGCGATGAAGAGTAGAATCGTCCGTCGCGGCGCAAGCAAGCAACGCGCCGTGCACATAGAAGACTGTCCATTTTGGAAGGCGTGATCTGCTCCGATCGAGTGGAACAACACAAACACAATATATGCCGACCTACCGAATCCATAGTACACTTCCTGTGCACAGATCGAGTTGCTACACACACCAACCCATGTGATTTCTTTTTCTTTTGTATAGGCAAGCGGTAGTAGCTTAGCTCGGTCCTTTTTATTTAGAAGATAACCGATCAGTTAATAATACTAGTATGTATGCACGTGCAATGCACGTTTTAACTTTATGGGTGATTTTTGGTAGGAAAAAACATAGACTTGCTGATTGATTCGAAGCACAAAAAAATCATGATTTATAGATGCTGAAATAAATTATATTATAAAGAAGTCCGAATTAATATATGCAATCCCCACAATTTTTTAATAAGGAATCTCTTAAAAATGTTAATAAAGAAATGAATTTAAAAATGGAAATACTAACGCCCACACGTGTGGGCGTTTGCATTTCGCCCACATGCATGGATCAACGTCCCTTTGTGTTTGCACGAATCTTGGCATGTTTTGCCAGATTTTTTATGCCACGTAGGACTGGGCTGGTGTGTGGGCATTCATCCGGTCGCTCACGTGTTCGTTTCAACCACGTGGAGGGGCTGGTGTGTGAACGTGTAGCAGTCCGCCCACACGCCAGTTTTCACGCACGTAGAGGGGCTGGTGTGTGGGCGTTTATCAATTCGCCCACACGCCTGTCATCTCCGACACCCAAAGCTGTCAGTTGCCATGTGTTTCTAAGCAAATGGCAACTCTCTTTTTACCCGAACATGTTATTTTGATATGTCTTTTTATAGTGTTACATGGCAACTGCCTAGTGTTAGTAGGTGACAACTCCTAAAGATACCACCATCGCCTACACGTCCGTCTCCTCTCCCACACCCAAAATTGTCAGTTGCCATGCGTTTTGCAAGGTACATGGCAACTGCCCTAGTGTGCTTGTAAGCAGATGGCAACTCCCTCTTTACCCCGAACATGTTATTTTGCCATGTCTTTTTTGTAGTGCTACATAACAACTGCCTAGTGTTATTAGGTGGCAACTCCTAAAGTTTTTAAATTATGGCAACTGTAGTAGACATGACCATACATGGCAACAACTGTAGTCGTCCAAAAATGGCATCTGGCACTTGACCTGAGATGGCAACTGCAGTTGAGCAACCATGGCAATTGTAGTTGTCAGACATGGCAACTGTAGTTCAGCAACATGGCAACTGCAGTTAAACAAACATGAAAGAGGGTCCTGACCATGGCAACTGCGGGGACAGATGGTGGCTACTGTGGCTCCCATGTCGAGAGGGACGACGGCCGAGCGAGGTCATGCGGGCCGCGGGGTCGCTCACCCGGACGTGTGGGCGATCGCGTCGCACACCGGACATGCGGGCTGTGACTGGGTGCGCTCAGACGTCCTCGTGCGGGCGGGCCTGTGTCGATCCCACACGGGGCGTGCGACACATACCCCCTAGATGCCACACGTGTGGTGGATATCGGTGTCCTTTAACTTTATTTTATGTTTCTACCTCGAAACCACTTTTTTGGGTTCAACTCGTTGCCAACCTCAAGCTACAACATGTCTGGCCCAAGAGGAATCAGTTTGGGCTACATCTCTTGAGAAGTATCAGGCGGTTCATTCTAGAACATGATGGATGCAATAACCATGCACTGTTCACTGTGAATCCCTCTACTTTCAGCCATTGGATTTAGGACATTTAGTATTGATGGCCATCTCCTATTCAAAACTCGTACAGTATTAGATAGTATAGAAAAATTGGCCGAAACCCGATACAAACGAAGCACACAAACACACCAGTCCCACGGCCGTGTCTCAGATGAGCTGAGAACTCGGTCACCCAAAGTGACCCGAGACAACACCGTGCTTCATGACCCGGAGTCACCACTCCAGCTTACAAACTACATCAACACACCACATTGGCCCGACGCCTCGCACCCGTCAAGCCGTCAGCAACATTGAAGGAGGACACGTCCACTAACATCTAAAAGAGGACCAAACATCCAAGGCGATGCCCTCAGAGAGGAGTGATGAGTACTGTTGGAAATATGCCCTAGAGGCAATAATAAAAGTATTATTATTATATTTCCTTGTTCATGATAATTGTCTTTTATTCATGCTATAACTGTATTATCCGGAAATCGTAATACACGTGTGAATACATAGACCACAATATGTCCCTAGTGAGCCTCTAGTTGACTAGCTCGTTGTGATCAACAGATAGTCATGGTTTCCTGGCTATGGACATTGGATGTCGTTGATAACGGGATCACATCATTAGGAGAATGATGTGATGGACAAGACCCAATCCTAAGACTAGCACAAAAGATCGTGTAGTTCATTTGCTAGAGCTTTGCCAATGTCAAGTATCTCTTCCTTCGACCATGAGAGTGTGTAACTCCTGGATACCGTAGGAGTGCTTTGGGTGTATCAAACGTCACAACGTAACTGGGTGACTATAAAGGTGCACTACAGGTATCTCCGAAAGTATCTATTG